GTGGTGTTTTTGTTTGGGTTTTTTTGGGGTGGGTTGTTGTTTTGGGAGAATTTTGGTGTTGCCTATTCTGAAGTGCAAGATTCTTGTGATTTAGCACTTAAATTTGAGTTTTACCTGTTGATCGACAGGCAGACTAGTTTTTGTGATGTACCAGCTGGAGGACTTGAAGGACTGTTTAGATGGCACAGAGATGAATTTCAGCCAGAGCAATCCACACTGATAAAACAGCATGAGCAGACAAGCCCAGCCACGAATATGGCTCATGCAGTGTTGATGGTACAAGACGCGTCTGTGTTCCTGCAGGACAGAGAGCTCTGCTGCTCCTGGGCCACTGGTTTCACTGGAAACCTTTGTGCCTGTATGCTTTGACCACTTGTTAGTAAAATAACACACTGCTTTAACTTTTGATCCTCTTCCATCCTAAATGACCCTATTGGCAGGAAATAAATTTGAACAGTAGCTACTAGAAGATATTTTGTGAACATTTGCTTCTTCTAAAGTTTATTTTCACAGTATGTTTCGCCTGAATATTTTCTGTAACAAAAAACCCTCAAATGCTCTTCTAGCCTGATAACATGTGTGAGGTTGAGGCTTCTCTCTTCCTTCCAGCTTATCTCACAAAATACTTCCTTAATACGCAGCTTCAATCATATTTATAAAGATAATATTAAGGTTAACATTTCAAAACAGGACGCTTGCCAGGCTAATGACAGATTGAAGTCAAAGGACACCATTTCTGGCAAGTAATTTACCACTGCTCTTCAAATACTTGTGTGAACAGAGCAAAAACTTTAAAGAAATCGAATTGCCATGGGATAAACCATTTAATAACATTATAATAACTAATAACTTATCAGTAGAGAGGGAAAAAAAAAAAGCAAGACTCAAAGTCCAGTTTTCACAGTGCAGTGAGGCTATAACCAAAGTTTCACACAAATCTTTTAGAGGCTGATGCTGTTCAACTTATTGGTGAAGTGTCTGGAAAAGAGGAAATTAGTGAGGCACAGAATTTTTAATTAAATATATTCAAAACAGTAAGAACTTAAGTGGACCAGGAAGAGTTGCAGTAAATGTCAGTATACTGAACATCTCAGAAATAAAACCCACAGGTAAAATTCCATTTTTATAGGTATAAAGCAGTGTACATGGCACAATGTGATAGCAGTTAGGCACATACAGTGATAATTTCTAAACTAGGCTCACTTTAACTATCAGTTAATGGTGAAGCAGAAGCAAAAAGAGGGGGGAGAAAAAAAAAAGCACCAAGCAGAATATTAGGAACTGAGGTCAAAGCAGAGGGCATTCTTACACTACTTCTAAGTTCATGGTGCTGAATAACTGTTAAAAGCAGTCAGGGTTTGATGGGAAGTAGGATAACAGGATGATCAGAGCAGCAGTTAACCCCGAAGAAATTAAATATGACATGATGCCCCTTTTTGGGAACAGGATGCCCATGGGAGAACAGGACTGAAAGATACAAAAAAATGAAGAGTGAGGAAAAGGTGAGTGGGGAGCACTCACTCAGTATTTGCTCTAGAAGAAGAGCCAAGAGCAGATTATATGAAATTATCAGAAGGCCAGGAAATACTTTTTCATATTGTATAGCTCATTGCCACATGATGCTGTGGGAGCTGAACAGAACTGGTCAAATGGAGATGAGACAGATGCAGAGATGAGAGGTTGCATTGGTAGGTGCTAAATACAGTGGTTAAAAATTCCAACTTCAGATATGTCTAAGCCGCTGTTGGCTTAAGCTGGAAGAACGCATCTGGGAGAAGACCTAGTAGTACTGTTCAAGAGATCAGGAGCAAAAGTAGTGTCCTGCTTCATCCCTCCTGTTGCAAGGAACAATGAGGGAAGAAGCAGGAAGATCCAACAGATCAATACCTGTCTCCAGACCTGGTGTCACCAGCAGGACTTCAGGTTTTTTGATCATGGTTCAGTTTACACAAGACCAGACCTGCTGGTGACAGACAGGTGCAACTCTCTCAAAAGGGGAAAAGGATCTTTGCACAGGAATTGTCAGGGCTTGGTGACACACCAATTTTTGTGGGATCGTGTGCTAGTGAGGTCCTTAAGTCTGCCATCCCAGTGGAGGTAGGGGATGAAATGCCATGTGATAGCAAAGACAGAATGGATATTTATGGGCTAGAAATCACAGGAGCACATAGGAAGTTCAGGTAAGAATTAGGCCTTCTCCCCTCAAAAAAGTGATGGAATAAATAGCCCAACTCAAATGCATCTACACCAGTGCATGCAACACGGACAACAAACAGGGGGAGCTGGAAGCCATTGTGCAGCAGGAAAGCTATGATATAGCTGCCATCATGGAAACATACAGTTAACATAACTACAGTGCTGCATTGGATGGCTATAAATTCTTCAGAAGGGATAGGCAAGGCAGGAGAAGTAGTGGAGTGGCCCTGTATGTTAGGGAGAATTTTGATTGTCTAGAGCTCAATGATGGTGATGATAGGGTTGAGTGTCTATGGGTAAGAATCAGGGGGAAGGGCAACAAGGCAGATGTCATGGTGGGAGTCTGTTGTAGACCGCCCAACCAGGATGAAGAAGCAGACAAAATACTCGGTAAGCAGCTGGGACAAGTCTCACAATCACTACCAGTTGTTCTCGTGGGGGACTCCAACATACCAGATGTCTGCTGGAAATGCAATACAGCAGAGAGGAAACAGTCTAGGAGGCTCCTGGAGTGTGTGTAAGATAATTTCCTGACACAGCTGGTGAGAGAGCCAACTAGGGAAGGCATCCTGCTGGACCTGTTGTTTGTGAACAGAGAAGGACTTGTGGGTGATGTGGAGGCTGGAGGCTGTCTTGGGTATAGGGATCACAAAATGATAGTTTTAAATTTTTGATGAATTAAAGGGGGGGGGGTGTCAGTAGAACTGCCACCTTGGACTTCCAGAGGGCAGACTTTGGCCTGTTCAGGAGGCTGATTGAGACAGGGTCCCTTGGGAGGCAGTCCAAGGAGTCCATGAAGAATAGACATTCCTCAGGAGGGAAATCCTGAAGGAGCAGGCTGTCCCAGTGTGCCATAAGGTGAGCCGATGGGGGAGAAGACTCTCTGAACAGAGATTTTAGTCTGGAACTAGGCTAGACCTTAGGAAGAAGTTTTTCATTATGAGGGTGGAATCTGGAATAGATTGAATAGATTGACTCTGGCATAGAGGTGTTCAAGGCCAGGTTGGATGAGGCCTTGAGCAACCTAGTCTAGTTGAGAGGCATACCTGCCCATGGCAGTGAGGTTGGATTAGATGATCTCTAGGGTCCCTTCCAACATAAGACGTTCTATGATTCTGTGATTCTATGAAATAAAAGCACGTGTGTTGTCTTGCTTACCTTGGGATGTGCACATATAAATATTAGTCAGGCAGATATTTAACTGCTTTGCTGGATTCAGTCTTTGGGTCTATGACAGTGAGCACTGATCTTCATATCCTCTTCTATGTACATGGACATTAGTGTGAATAATCCCTCAAACTTCAGTGTGGGTTGTTATCCAGAGAGACTTTTGGGTGAAAAGTTAAATATTCCAAAGAGATTGCTACAGCAAATGGAAAACATAACTATAATGAAAAGGAAATGGAAAAATGAAGAAACGGACAGAGAGGCTTAGGACAGATTTACAAGGTATGTAACGTGGACAAGTCAGGGGAGCTTTTCAAAGAACTTTGCTACGATTTAGTTGGCTATGGAAGTAAATACTACAAAAAACGGTCAGTTTTTCAAGTAATTAATCACTCTGAATGAAGATTTTTGGGTTTGAGGGGTCTTTTTGCTTTCCTTTGTTACTTCCTCAAGCTTTTTTTGGCTCATCAGTAAATACTTCCCTTCCAAACTATCATTATATATAGGGCCGAGTGTCTTCTACTTTATAGAAAACTTTATAAATATATCCTGTAATTTTGTAGTGAGCTTCTATGGTAGACTCTGTATAACTCAGTGAATTACTTAAATTTACCTTCAGAATCCACCTTCTTTTTTCTGCTCAGACCCCTCAGCCCTTCTGTATGGACAGTTATCTTTGAAGGCAGAATTCACCATACACATGAACCAACATAGGCCAATAAACTTGGACCTAGCAGCAGAGTAAGTGTCACTTCCTTGCAAGCTCACGGCAGAAGCAATCAATACTTCCTCTTGTCTCTTGGTGAAATGTATTCTAAGCTGATGAAAACATGCAACTCTGGAAGACAAAAGTGAGATTTTTGTCCTTTAAATGTACTCTGTATTTCAGTGGTGCATTAATAAAACAATTTACAAGTGCAAATTTTATTTATCACCTCTGCTGTTAGAACAACCTTATGTTTTTTTTAAAATTCGAACATTTCCAAATTCACTACAGTTTTGACAGAAACTACTCTCTTGCCAGGGAAGTACAAGGTTCTTTGGCTCCATCTACGAATAGGTACAGACAGTTGAGGGCAAAGAGCAACCCAGGATTACAGTCAAACCACCCAAGAATCACCTGCTTTATCTTTCAAATCTATTTGACAATAGATTTTAGGGAGCCTAAATGAAAGTCGGGGTGCTATAAGTGCTGGCAGAAGAGGGCTGGGGTGTGTCTTTCCCTGCTTCTACCAGGTCTCCTTTCGCATCAGGAAAAAGTGGGAATTTGCACAATCTAAGAAAATATTGTATTCTCTCTGCTGCTCCCCCAAGCCACAGTATCTGGTTACCACCTCTGACTTAATGATATTTATTGATATTAATATTGATAGTTTTAAAAAAAAAAAATTAAAACCCCTTCTTTGATCTTCTCTTTCACTTGCAAACTCCTCACCAGCTAAGAGCCATGGTTAACACACGTTTAAAATACTCTGGTGTTCAAATCTGGATTCCAACCACGCAGGTTCAGTAAAGAGCCTGGCAGAGCCCCTGCCTCTCCACTGCACTTGAGAGCAAGATGTGACATCTTGTGACTAGATGATCAATGTGATGAGTCTTGTCACATTTATGGCTAAGCAGTACATGGTTTTTGATAGGTGTGGCCAAGTCCAGTATGATCCCTCCTGTAAAGCAGAAGTGGAAAGGAACTTGCCATCCTGAACCTGACTGCTTATTAGTCTCTGATTTTGATACCATTTTTACTGGGGAAAAAGTCCAAACTAATGGCGTGTAGTTGTTCATTCTGCTGGTTTTGTCCATATAGCTTATTGGTTATTTGAGCATGTTGTTTGTAACAGGCATGTGATGTATTATTTACAAGGACTACAAATGCTTGCTTCTTTTGTTTTGTTTATTTTTCAGACTAATGTGGGACTGTCAGGTCCCTTTTACAGTTTTATGTACATAGTCTGATTTTTCAAACTGAGCTTCCAGCAATTCTTACAGGTTGTAGCTAGAAGGCAGTGGGTGCTCAGTCGCTTTTGAAAATTAGCCCACTTAGCTCTCTAGAGAAAACCTGGGTCACAACTTCACTCTATTGTCTATGTCAGTTAATTTCAGCATTTTCAAACATTAATCAAAAGCTCTAAATTCTTCTCTCATGCCCTCCTGTCAAGATAATGGTATTGTGTGTTTGCAAGACTGTATTTGAAAGAAACAAATAATTGTTAAATAATTATAAAATCAGAGTGTGTGGATCAACAATGCATGAATGCATTCAAGAAAAAAAATAGAGTTGGTATGGGATAGCTAATAAAAAATAATATGTCTCCTATACATCGATGGGCTCATGAATGGAGAAGTCTCCAAGTCCTTTCTGCCCTGCACTCTGTCAGCCACCCAAGGCAACACAGGTCTGCCCTGACATGATAATAAGAACATTGATTTGCTACTTGCATCTTGATGTCACAGTATCGCTGTTGCTGGTAGAAATGCACTGATAAGATCAACATAGATTTGGGGTTTTGGAGATTTGTCCTGGGCTTGCAATGACATTTCTTGCATTAAAAAAAGATAATTTAGAAACTCTGTTTATGACACAGAATTTGAAATAAGAAGTAGGCACTAAAATTCCCTGGATTTGGAGCAGAATCCCACCTCTTCTTTTCCCAAAGACATCTATCCAGACCTAAGTTTCTTCTTGTGATTCAAGCACAGGCTTCCTGCATAGGCAAAAGAAAATTTTAACTTTGTACTACTTTCAAAGCATTGTATTGTTAGTATTAAACTGGAATAGAAGAACCGAGTCCTTCTAACAGTTCTAAGTGCACAAAGTATTGAAGAGTGGAATTACCTTCCCAAGATGGTCCACTGTTCCGTGAGTGTAAATTAAAATGAATGCAGTGAAATTTGCCTTAAGGGCTGTATTCAGTAGATGACCATCTTATTCAAAAACGTGAAGGGACCACTTGATTTACACATGAGTGGAAGCTTATAATTTTCAGCGTAATGTTTGGTCAGTTCAGTAATCAGTTATGCTAAACTTTTATGGCATTGATTACAAAAATGTTTCATTGTATGCCATCTGAATTTCTCCATTATGTAAAAAAGTGAAGTAGAGTATTTTCTGAGAAGGAGGACACAGATGAAATTAATAAAGAATGGTGTTAAATGTCATAAAGTTTAATAGGAATTACACAGGTTGAAAATGATACCGTTCAAATCCATATTCCTTTAAACAGTAGTTTTTCGAAACTTACTTTGGAATATTTTTCTTTGACAGATGCATAGCTAACGTATTTTCTACTTTCAGAACACAACTTTTTTGACAAAAAAATCTGGTTCCAGAATTCCTGGAAACATCAAAACTTAGTGGGTGCTTTTAGTGCTTAAGAGGAAACAGAAAAAAGTGTAATGGAAACTACAAGACTTCACCAGGACTGCTGCATTTTCCCATAAAAATTCTTGGACTAAAAAGCTGCTTTTTTCTTTTTAATCATTCAATGAAAAAAATGTGCTGTTTTCACAATTTGTACAGATTCTAAGCAGTAGAATATCACAACTTATTGCAGATAGGAAGAGTATTTGCTTTGGGAACCTACATTTGTTCTTGAATCGGCAGGTTACTGCTGAATTAATTTTCCATCCTTCTCAGCTTTCATGCTTGCTCATCCATCTCTTTGCAATGTTATGTTGTTCAGTTTGGTAAACTCTTGAGCATATAGAAATCTGAGTTCCCAGGACTCTAATTAACTTGGAACTCAATTCATCTGACAGACTTTTGAAACTGGGGCTGTAAATCCCAGTTCATTTAGATACTTAACAATCATTTAACCTGCTCTGTATTTGTACTTGCTGACTCGCTGTTTAGGCAGTCAGTCTTCAGATCAGAAGCATGTGGTGCCCCTCCAGCAGACAAACATTTTCCACCAACATTCTGAAGAGAATAAAAATCTAAATAAATAACACCCAAGGTTGAAAAGAGCCTATTCACCAAACATCGGTAAAGTAATTCCACAGGAAAAATAAATGTTCAGCAAAGTGATCTGTCATTTGAAAATTGGATCCAGATTTTACAAACTGAGAAGGATGAACAACTGTGTCAAATGCAGGGCAATATAGTTTGTCTGCTAGGTGTGTTGTCACAAGGCACTAATGTTCTGCTTATGGAGAAGTGCAATCTGGGCAAAAAGTAAATCGTTTGTTTATCAGTGAACTGTTGAAATCATGGCACTATGAATACCATCCCTCATGGTTTATATATAATTCATGGGTATGTGCAATCTACCAGCTAGTTCAGAATGATACAATTCAGAACAGATTCATCTGTCAACCCACTATTTTGAAAATTAAGATTTCTGTTCTTCGAAGAAAGGTTGTAAACTCATTATGTCTAAAAGGCAACATAAATAAAGCACAAAATGAGACTTTCAGGAAAGTCAAGTATTCAGTTCCCTGTTTATCTTTTGTTCTAACATTGCTATTCCTTGGTTAAATTCATTGTTATTGCCTTCATCTTTCTAAAAAAAAATCTTCCTCTTTCTAAAGTAAAAGTATTTGCTTCTACCACAGAGCTAATTTGAGGATGAGCAGTATCTTACCCAGGATGGCAGAAAGAAAGTAGTGTAGGGACTTAAAGGGTGGGTGTCAGGAAGGAAAGGGCAATCTCTTCTCACTCATGCCCTGCGATAGGACATGGGGTAATGGTCACAAGCTGGAGCACAAGAAGTTCCACCTCAACATGAGGAAGAACTTCTTACCTGTAATGGTTTCAGAGCACCGGAACAGGCTCCCCAGGGAGGCTGTGGAGTCTCCTTCCTCGGAGACTTTTAAGACCCATCTGGATGCGTTCCTGTGTGACCTGCCCTAGACTAGATGGTCCTGCTCTGGCAGGGGGTTGGACTCAATGATCTCTGGAGGTCCCTTCCAACCCCTAACATTCTATGATTCTATGATTCTTGAGAAATTTTGATGGACACAAAGCCTTCAGAAAAAAGCCTCCTTTTGTTAGGGAAATTAAAAACCTAGAAATTAGGTCTCTTCAAAACTAAATTATTCACCATTCTAAATGTCATTATTCAGTCTTATTCACTGCTCAAAGCACAGCAAACTTCCTTTTATAAACAGCTTTTGAAGATAAGTTTGAAGTTTAGAATTAAAGTCAAATCATTGTGAAACTGTTTGAAGTTTAGAATTAAAGTCAAATAATTTTAAAATGGCATAATGTGCTTTCATGCGTCTTGTTTTCCAGTGTTTTGTCAGTTCACAAACAGGATAATTTTATCTGCTGGAGATTAAACCTTTCCTGGGGTCGGGCTGTGCCCTTCTGATTCACTCACCACCACTAATAATAATTCTGTGATTGACTTTTGGTCAAGGATTTTGCTGGTGTTGCACACTAGATGAGATTTGACCTTTAGCTGGATCCAGGTTAACAGGAGTGATAAATGGGGGGAAAATATTTACTCTATTAAGAAAATTCAGAAACCAGCTGATTCTGGATGAATCTGATGGGATAATTTAACATAATCCCTCACTTCAGCAATCTGATTTCGGGTGGAAAGACTAATTAAGACTGGGAGTTTTTGGAGTACAAAACTGAGTGTTTCATAGGTTTAAAAAAAAAAAAAGAAACAAACCGGTGACAACAGTTGTGTTTTTCATTTGGAAAACAAAGTTTAAAGATAAAAACTTTGTTGTGAGCAGTGCCAAAAGGGGAAAAATAGTATTTTCTATCTTCTTTGCCCTGATACTTTTGTCTTTTTTCATATCTCCCAGTTTTGTGGGTTGGGCTTGTCTTGCTTCTCTAAGGTGGAGTTCCTTCCATAGCATCTTCAAAAGAATGGGCCTGTCATAGCCAAAGAGCTTCAAATGGAGTTACACACAGGGCTCATCGGAGAACAGGGCATTCTCTCTGCATTAATAATTTGAGGAAAATCAGAAGCAGTAAAAGAATTTCCTGAGCACCATTGAATCAGAATATGATTTCTATAGAATTGCAGTTCATCACACTGCCTCCTGTTCTAGAGGAAAATTAACACAGATGAGATTGAAAATGGCTAAAATATATGTTCTCTGCCCCAAAGTCTGTTGAAATTAGCCTAGTGTCAACTGATTTCAACTTGCAGGGACCACTTTGACTTTGACTAAGGTCTCCCAAAAAAAAAAATAACAATGGTAATAATAAACGTAGCATTGGTCTTGAATAGCTGTGCCAGAAATCTAAGATGTGAACTACGATCTAGCTACTCAGTGCAACTTAACATATTCCTCTGGAAATCAGTGGGAGATTGCTATTTTCCACCAAAAGAAAATTCGGCCCTGCAAATAACTGTTTTCTTGTAATTTCAGTAATTCCCAAACTACAATGCCACAAAACAAACCTGCATTAACTGTTTCCTCATGTAAGTGTGTATCTTAGCATATCTGACACAGAACAGTAGTTGGGGATATCAGCCAGCTTTCCTTGTCTGCTTTTGTAAAATTGTATGTCAGCTGAAATTGCTACGTAGGTATGATGCTGTCTTTGTTCTACTATTCAGCATCAGAGCCAAATCTTAAAATGTAGGTATATTGCGTGTTTGCTTGTATAGATCTTTTAACTGGTAGTGTTTCTATCTATCTCATGCTCATCATGAATGCATTGGGAAACACAGTTGTCAGTTATA